AATGGTTACACGAGTGAAAGTCGGTTAGAGAGTCGTTAGGTTAGTGATTGTAAGATGAAAAGTCATGCCTGTCTAACCGGTTTTGTTTAAATCCCCTGATGCAGAGTTGATATTGCCGGTTTGAGAGTATAGACATTAGGCCCCGGGAATTATGGAGTGATTCTGAGAGCCTGCATGATCACCACTTGAAAGTATGAAATAAAAAATAACGCGTTTGTAACGGTAGACAGTTTACCCGTGGAGGGCTTGAGACGGACCGTCCGCCGGGGGTGACAGACAGGGACCTGGGGGGGGGGGGGTCAGCAACTGTACCAGGGACATCGCCAAGAGTACTGATAACATCACCAGCTGCTCCTCATATATATACCCAGAGTTACAGCCCCGCTCCTGTGCCAGATAAGCACGGGATATGGTGAGTGCTACTTGCAACTTTCTGTTCCCAGTAGCTGACTCTAGACCAACAACAACAAATGCTCATCATGCCAGTGTCTGTTTCCTGATTATTAGCTCGTGCCAAACTGATAGCTCGGTCCCCCAAGGTACCGTGCTTGCTCCGGTACTTTTTCTCACCGTAATATCAGACACAGACAAGGATACAAACTACAGCACTGTATCATCATGTGCAGACAACACCAGGATCTTCATGCCAGTAGACAATATAGAGGACACGGTAAACCTCCAATCTGATGTTACTCGGGTCTTTCAATGGGCCACAGATAAGAATATGATGTTTAATGAAAATAAGTTCCAGCTCCTGTGCTATGGAGAAAATGAAAGTTTAAAAATGGAAACCATATATAAAACTCCCGTGGGTCAGGCTTCCACGACCTGTAGACATATGATTGATTGGCTCATCACTGAGAGAATTTACAGTAAAAGTAGTTTCGTCAAACTTGATGAAATTGGCTGGATTTTCTTCAGTATCGTAATTTAGGCTTCCAACACAATATATTTCGGCGCGTTAAAAGCAGGAAGAACGGAAGGGCAAATTGACATCAGTAAACAGTGATATGATGCGATTTGGAAAAAGAAAAAGTAACATTTGAAATTACTTCTCTAGGCAGGTGGGCCCACACCACATGTGTTTTTCGGGGCTGCATACTCATGAGTGCGTCTAACATTGTATATAGGGCCCGGGAAGCTCTTTTTGTCTAATTGTACAGGTCTTGTTATTCTCGTTCATACCCTCATGACTTTACACTTGGTTGGGTTAAAGTCTAGTAACCATTCCTCTGATCACGTCTGGCATGGGGCATGATCCCCTTGGAGAGCATTGTAGTCCACATCTGTCTACACATGTGTCTACACATCTGCGACTCATTTGAGGACTTAGTTACCATACATGTCTTCCTGTGCGTGGCTCACCGTAACAAATAGTCTTGGGTGTATATTCACCTGGAAATGTTGCTTAAATGGAAACTGGTTAACCAATATTAATCCAAACTGTGTTAACAAAATGATTGGACATCGTGTTTATTGCTGTCTTCAATATCTTGCTGCCTGCTTGCAGAGGCGACACGTGCACCGCTAGAAGTGATCTGTTTCTGTGGTTGTGATTGAGATGCGCGGGATAGTGATGTTGGATAGTGAGGTGAGGGTGGCGCTCCTGGGTGTGAACCCTTCTACGGCACACATCATTTGTCCAGATGACTGTCCTCCCATGCTGTCTGTCCTCTCACCTCCCACTGTCACCGTACCTACTTCTGTCTCTCTCTTTGTCTCTCTCTCTTTCTCTTTCTTTTCCCCTCTCTCCCCCTCCCCATCTTCCCCTCCCTCTCTCCCCCTCCCCATCTTCCCCTCCTTCTCTCCCTCCCCCTTTGGTCTCGCCCCCCACACTGTTTCCCCCCCCTCCCTTTGTTCTCTCATCTCTTTGCTCTCCCCCTCCCTTTCCTCCCCCCCCTTTCCTCCCCCCCCTTTCCTCCCCCCCCCTTTCCTCCCCCCCCCCAGGTTCTCTGGCGAGGACCCTCTGCCTGTTACGAGAGAATATTGTAGACGCTTCCCTTACACAGCAGAGACAACCTCTGGGATTGATGGTGATGGTCCAGCTGACGAGGGGGGGGGGGGGGACGGAGGGAAGGGGAAGGAGAGAAGGGAGGGAGAGGTCTTGGTAGGAAAGACGGGAAATCGACGAATAAGAGAAAGGGACAAGAAGAGATACAAGAGAATGAAGTGGAAGGGTTAAGTAAAGGTGTGAACTAGGAGAAGTAGGGAGGCGGGGGAGGCAGCAGAGTTAGTTTGGGTTATTATGCACCCCATACCCATCCTATGGGCGGTAGTGGAAAGGGTTACAGAGGCACATAATGGGCTCAGGGACTGAACCCCACAATTCATTTAGCTAAACAAGTTACAATCTTGATGACCTAGTTACAAAATTCAAATCACATCGTCACATCAACAATGGGTTCGAGGTGGACCACAAGTACAGGTTCTAAATTAAGCAACTGACATATGTGGAGAGCTAGTGTCACAATTGATATGTTTGTCCTGCACACCGCCCCCCATCCAGTGGGCAGCGGTGGATAATAATAATAATATTTATTTAGGTAAAGGTACATACATAAAGAGATTTTACAAAGTTTGTTGGCTTTATAGATAGAGCTAGTACATACAATGCCTAAAGCCACTATTACGCAAAGCGTTTCGGGCAGAAACGCTTGTTTCAGTTAAGTTACAGTCACTCAGTTACTACCTACAGTTAGTGAACTGGGGATAATTGACCAAGATGTCTGGCAGCAGATCATTTTGAATTAAATATTTACACATCTTTGGAACATTGGTTATAGAATTGTCTCTGAAGTCAGCAGAAGGCAGCAGCGCCACCAGGCCAGGAAATGGGCGGTGGCGGCTGGGAGAAGATACCAAACCACACAAAGTACACTACACTCTACATGCGAAGGGGAGGAGTGTTAGTGAGTGACAGATACCATCACTCACTCACTAGTTGCTCTTTCAGTATGGAGTGTGTTAGTGTTAAGGCGGTGGTACGAGGGCGTCGTTTGTCAAGGATAATCTGGCGCGTGGCGTGCGGTATCCTCCTCTTCCCCATCTTAATTTAATCTCGAGTATTACAGCGCCAGATAGAACGTTCGTGCTGCTGTGGCCTCTGGCTGCCGGCTGGAGTACGGGGGGAGGGGGGGGTAGATGAGGGAGAGGGGAGGGGAAGGTAGATGATTAAGGGAGGGGATGTGGTAGGGAAGAGGTAGAGTAGGATTGGAAAGGGGCGGAGAGGTACTTAACAGAGGAGGCTGGGGAGGTTAGTCTGTGATTTGCCAGTAATCACAACAGTGTTCTCTGCAGGTGTGTGTGTGTGTGTGTGTGTGTGTGTGTGTGTGTGTGTGTGTGTGTGTGTGTGTGTGTGCCCCCTGTGTGTGTGGTGTGGGTGTGTGTTGTGTGTGTGTGTGTGTGTGTGTGTGTGTGTGTGTGTGTGTGTGTGTGTATATATATTATTATAATATAGGGGTCGAGTGACCATTCCAGTACGCGCACGTCACTGCCTCATATATATATATATATATATATATAATATATATATATATATATATATATTATTATTATTATAATATAGGGGTCGAGTGACCCCTGGCGGCATAATGATTCCTTAGATGCTTCCTACTTGTTATTGCGAGAGTGGGCTGGCCGGCCGTCGTGACGCTCTGAATGTGTGCATACTGTGGTTCGAGGCCCCACCGTCACACCATGTACCCGGGTCATTCACACTGATTCATGGTTAAGCACTGTACTGTGGCATCATGATGGCACTACTCCCCTCCCCCGCTCACACCCTAGTGTGGTATTTAACAAATAATTCGTTCGTATGAATTTATAGAGAAATTGATGGCGAGTTCTGGAGAAAATAATCAACAAATGGTGATGGTAGAGTTTGGTCTTGCAACCTGGCAGATGAAATTGTCACCAGAACGTCCCCCACTCTACCTGTGGCACTGTGTCACACCCCCTACATGTGACACTGTCACACTCCTACATTAGGCATCAGTGTCATCATCAGCCACATGCGTCAGTAGATCAAACAAGCCAATTGGATACACTACTCACACTACGTGACACGTTTATGAGTTAAGTGTGAGCCTGTCACGTTGTTCATCAAGAAGTTGGCGGAGTGTTAGGTTAACGAGGAGCCCAAGTTGCCAGAGTTATGATTGGCGATCTTTAGGTCTCTCGTGTGACCTGTTGGTATCTGATTGCCCTCTGTTCTGGTATCTGATTGCCCTCTGTTTTGGTATCTGATTGCCCACTGTTTTTCTGAATTCTCAGAGTTCCTCATTAGATATGCTAAAAACGGTAGGATTGTTTCGAACGTGGATCAGAGAACATTTGTCGAGAAATTGACAATCTTGTAATATTGTATGACATTGTGTTCTGTTTTGTGACTTTGTATTGTGTTTGACTGGTATTGTATGACATTGTATTTTGTTTGGCTGGTATTGTTAGTCATCTATATAGATTGTAGTATTTTTTCCATTCTTTTCAATGGCATGTTTGCATGGGTTGTGTTGTCATTTTGTGTGGTAGTTTCTGCATGCATGCATGCATACAGGTATATACACACGCGCACGCACACTACCACACACGCACGCATTCAACCACACACGCCCGCACGCACACGTACAATATTTGACATGTGATTAGTTCTATACCCTTTTTCAGCAATGTAATTTGTTTCCATCAGAAGGCTTAAGTTGATAATGTATTTTTTTAAAGATAAATGTTAATGCTGCGTCTATAATTATGATAACGATGCTCTAATTATTTTTGACCCAATAATTAACCAGGGTCATGTATCTATAACAGTGACAAATAAAGGGCAAATAACTAACATGTTGCAAAAAAAAACTGTTTACCTTTCATTTTGTCACTGGTTGTTCTGCAAATATACATTATATGAATACTGTATATATGTATATATAATATACACGTGTATATATATGTATTGTATGTTTAGCGAGGCGGACATGCTATGTTAAAAGAAGGTTGTGCTTCAGACTGGGAGTGGTGATGGGTCGGAGTGTGAGCCGTGTCAGATCCTGCTGGAGGAACGCCTGGTGAAGACCAGTCCTATATGGTTCCAGCCGGACCTGCAGCGCTCAGGGGCCGTCCACCTCCTGCAGGGCAAGGATGAAGGGGTACGTTCACTTTGTTCAAGTTCAAGATTTGTTCAAGGGGTAGGTGCTGGCGCCAGGGGCTCCTCCTCCTCCTCTAGTTACCACATTGATACATTTACCGGAACCAGATTTACGAAGCAGTTACACACAAACACTTACGAACCTGTACATCTTTTCTCAATCTTTGGCGGTTTTGTTTACGATTATTAAACAGTTAATGAGCTCCGAAGCACCGTGAGGCTGTTTATAACAATAACAACAGTTTATTGGGAAGTTTTCATGCTCGTAAATTGTTTAATAAATGTAACCAAAGCCGTTAAAGATTGAAGAAAGATGTACATGTTCCTAAGTACTTGTGTAACTGCTTCGTTAATCCGGCCTGTGTGGAGCAGTGGGATTTGTATTAATCTGTAACAAATATAAAGTTTGTTAAATTAGAGCGCAAAATGTTCCATGGTAACCTGTATTGATTTGTTAAATTTGATCTCGGCTCACTTCACATAGAATACCTTTGTACAAAATGTTGTTTATGAATACCGTATCGTCTCTTAAAAGACATCCAGATTGAAATTATCCTCAATTTACAGTGTAATGTGTTCCTGTGTACACAAGAACTAACCAATGCTTTGTTCGTTCCATACGCCCCTTGCTGCTACTGATCTGAAATACCTGTCTAGGTGACCGTTATTAGTATTTAATTAGTATGTTTTTTTCCAGAACTTCATCGTTCGTCAGAGCAGCAAGCCGGACACGCGGGCGCTGAGCGTGAGGCTGCCGCCGGACAAGGGGCCGGATATCCAGCACTACCTCATCGAGGTCCACAACGACGGCACAGCCTACTCCCTCGAAGCCTCAGACAACCGCTTCGATAAACTACCAACTCTCATTGCTTATTATTCCCAGTGCTGGTAAGAGGAACTTTTGTTGCTTCAGTGGTGGTTGTTGGTTTGGTGGTGGTTGTTGGTCTGGTGGTGGTGGTTGTTGGTCTGGTGGTGGTTGTTGGTCTGGTGGTGGTGGTTGGTCTGGTGGTGGTTGTTGGTCTGGTGGTGGTGGTTGTTGGTCTGGTGGTGGTGGTTGTTGGTCTGGTGGTGGTGGTTGTTGGTCTGGTGGTGGTGGTTGGTCTGGTGGTGGTGGTTGTTGGTCTGGTGGTGGTTGTTGGTCTGGTGGTGGTGGTTGGTCTGGTGGTGGTTGTTGGTCTGGTGGTGGTGGTTGTTGGTCTGGTGGTGGTTGTTGGTCTAGTGGTGGTTGTTGGTCTGGTGGTGGTGGTTGTTGGTCTGGTGGAGGTGGTTGTTGGTCTGGTGGTGGTGGTTGTTGGTCTGGTGGTGGTTGTTGGTGTGGTGGTGGTTGTTGGTGTGGTGGTGGTTGTTGGTCTGGTGGTGGTGGTTGTTGGTCTGGTGGTGGTGGTTGTTGGTCTGGTGGTGGTTGTTGGTCTGGTGGTGGTTGTTGGTCTGGTGGTGGTGGTGGTTGTTGGTCTGGTGGTGGTTGTTGGTCTGGTGGTGGTGGTTGTTGGTCTGGTGGTGGTGGTTGTTGGTCTGGTGGTGGTGGTTGTTGGTCTGGTGGTGGTTGTTGGTCTGGTGGTGGTGGTTGTTGGTCTGGTGGTGGTTGTTGGTCTGGTGGTGGTGGTGGTTGTTGGTCTGGTGGTGGTTGTTGGTCTGGTGGTGGTGGTTGTTGGTCTGGTGGTGGTGGTTGTTGGTCTGGTGGTGGTGGTTGTTGGTCTGGTGGTGGTTGTTGGTCTGGTGGTGGTGGTTGTTGGTCTGGTGGTGGTTGTTGGTCTGGTGGTGGTGGTTGTTGGTCTGGTGGTGGTGGTTGTTGGTCTGGTGGTGGTGGTTGTTGGTCTGGTGGTGGTGGTTGTTGGTCTGGTGGTGGTGGTTGTTGGTCTGGTGGTGGTGGTTGTTGGTCTGGTGGTGGTTGTTGGTCTGGTGGTGGTTGTTGGTCTGGTGGTGGTTGTTGGTCTGGTGGTGGTTGTTGGTCTGGTGGTGGTTGTTGGTGTGGTGGTGGTTGTTGGTCTGGTGGTGGTGGTTGGTCTGGTGGTGGTGGTGGTGGAGGTGGTTGGTCTGGTGGTGGTTGTTGGTCTGGTGGTGGTTGATGGTCTGGTGGTGGTGGTTGATGGTCTGGTGGTGGTTGTTGTTGGTCTGGTGGTGGTTGTTGTTGGTCTGGTGGGGGTGGTTGTTGTTGGTCTGGTGGTGGTTGTTGTTGGTCTGGTGGGGGTGGTTGTTGGTCTGGTGGGGGTGGTTGTTGGTCTGGTGGTGGTTGTTGGTCTGGTGGTGGTGGTTGTTGGTCTGGTGGTGGTGGTGGTAATTGGTCTGGTGGTGGTTGTTGGTCTGGTGGTGGTGGTTGTTGGTCTGGTGGTGATGGTGGTGGTGATTGGTCTGGTGGTGATTGGTCTGGTGGTGGTTGGTCTGGTGGTGATGGTTGGTCTCGTGGTGGTGGTTGTTGGTCTGGTGGTGATGGTGGTGGTGATTGGTCTGGTGGTGGTGGTGATTGGTCTGGTGGCGGTTGGTCTGGTGGTGGTTGGTCTGGTGGTGGTGGTGGTTGGTCTGGTGGTGATGGTTGGTCTGGTGGTGATGGTTAGTCTGGTGGTGGTGGTTGGTCTGGTGGTGATGGTTGGTCTGGTGGTGGGGGAGGTTGTTGGTCGTGTGGTGGGGGAGGCTATTGGTCTAGTGGTGGTGTGGTGGTGGTTGATCTGGTGGTGGGGGAGGTTGTTGGTCTGGTGGTGGTGGTGGTGGTTGGTCTGGTGGTGGTGGTTGGTCTGGTGATGGGGGAGGTTATTGGTGTGGTGGTGGTTGGTCTGGTGGTGGGAGAGGTTGTTGGTGTGGTGGTGGTTTGGTCTGGTGGTGGGGGAGGTTATTGGTGTGGTGGTGGTTGGTCTGGTGGTGGGAGAGGTTGTTGGTGTGGTGGTGGTTTGGTGTGGTGGTGGTTTGGTGTGGTGGTGGTTGGTCTGGTGGTGGGAGAGGTTGTTGGTGTGGTGGTGGTTGCTGGTCTGGTGGTGGGAGAGGTTGTTGGTGTGGTGGTGGTTGCTGGTCTGGGTATGGTGACCACGGGTCATATTAAGCAGCAATGCATCAGTGTTATTAGAACTTTGTGTCAGGATGAGACCATATTAGTAACAATATACAAGTAGTTAAAATTCTGCCTGTAAATAAAAATTTAGGTATAGTTAAAAAGTTAAAAAGTATAGTTATCAAACAGTGTAAATCAAACTTAACATTTATAGATAAATACTAAACAAACGGTTACTTATAATTTTAGTGGTGATAAATTAGTTTAAAAACTATGTAGGAGAATTAAACGTTGAGGTTTGTGAGGAATGGTTGAGTGCTGATATACGAAATGCTGTGTAGCATAGCATTCTGTCATTTGATTATAAATAAGTATTGTATTTTGCAGTGACGAGTTGCCAGTACAGTTAAAACTGCCTCGCTCCCTCCAGGACGCCAAGACCCGGCAGGAGCTCACATCTCTGGCCTTACTGGGACAAGGTGACCACTCTTTTGATTCTAAATTGTCATTCATTAATTATTGTCACTTTGTCTCATTGCTATTAATTTTAGATTTTTTTTTGTCTAATTTGCCTTAAGTTTACTGTTCATTATTTTTTAATTTCTTATAGTTTAACAATTAGATGTGTAAGGTTATAGGAACAAAGGGAAGAGGAGTTTGTGCTATCCTCCGTCTATGGCTGCTAAACTCTACTGGGTCATCAACGTGAAAAATGCAGAATTAGAGCAGTATAAATAGAGAGGTTTAGAGAGACATGTGTGGTGTTAGGAGATCAGGAAGCGTAAGGAATGAAAATGTCATGGAGAGATGTGTAAATGCAATCATCAATAGACTACAAGTTAAGAACACGTGCCAAGATGGTATGGGTATATTGAACACATGAAGGAAGGTTAACTGGTGAATCTAATGGCAAAAGGAGGAGAGCAAATGCCAGGGAAAAAGATTGGTGAAAGCTATAAAATAAATGTATAAATATATAAATAAATAAAATATATATATATATATATATATATATATATATATATATATATATATATATATATATATATATATATATATATATATATATATATATATATATATATAAAACAACGATCACAAAAACACTATTCCAAGTACAGCTTGTTCTGTATATGGCCACTGCTTCACAAGCGGGGATGTTTCTGATGGGGGAGAAAGAAACAATTGCGCAGCGCGTCCCGCGGCGTTGCGCGGGCAGTCTGGGCCGTATAAGTACAGGGGTACAGAGGGGCTCTGCCCTCACTTCGCCTGCCCTCGCCGCTGCCCTAGCAAAGTTTTGGCGTTTATGGCTTTGGCGGGTAGGCGGTATTGGAGGAACAATTTGGAGGATCGACATCCTCCAAATTGTTCAGTATTTTAAAGGTTTCGATGAGATCCGCCCTGTCAAGTGTGGTTTGCAGTGTTGTTAGCCCTGTGGCCCTCAAACGTTCCTGATACGTGAGATGACTAGGCTCTGGTATGGTTTTTATTGCCTTGGTGTTGTACCTTCTCCAGAGCAGCTCTGTCTTTCTGAAGATGAGGTATGGAGGCATGGATGCTTTTTCACCCATAGGGCTGTAAACCTGTGGAACCGCCTACCCGCCGAAGCCGTAAACGCCTAATCTTTGCTGGGGTTTAAAACACGGCTAAAAAAAGATCAAGGCAGTTGGGGGGAACCTTTGTCAAGCTGCAGACTTTTTGTCCTCATAGAGATCACTAGTATTAGTGGCCCTATGGTAAATTCAGGTAAATATATAAATATATATATTAGTGAGTATACATGCCTGGTGGCATGTGAGAGTAACATGTGAGAGATGTGAGAGTTGCGAGAGTTGCATGTGAGAGTGACGTGTGAGAGTTGCATGTGAGAGTGACGTGTGAGAGTGACGTGTGAGAGTGACGTGTGAGAGTGGCGTGTGAGAGTGACGTGTGAGAGTGGCGTGTGAGAGTGGCATGTGAGTGATGTGTGAGTGACGTGTGAGAGTGGCGTGTGAGAGTGGCATGTGAGTGGCATGTGAGTGACGTGTGAGAGTGACGTGATGTGAGTGACGTGTGAGAGTGACGTGTGAGAGTGACGTGTGAGAGTGGCGTGTGAGAGTGGCGTGTGAGAGTGGCGTGTGAGTGGCATGCGAGAGTGACTTGTGAGAGTTGCATGCGAGAGTGACGTGTGAGAGTGGCGTGTGAGAGTGGCGTGTGAGTGACGTGTGAGTGGCATGCGAGAGTGACTTGTGAGAGTTGCATGCGAGAGTGACGTGTGAGAGTGACGTGTGAGAGTGGCGTGTGAGAGTGGCATGAGAGAATAATATACAGGATAAGAAACAAGGCTGAGTGAGAGAGGTTTGTAAGAAGAGAGTAAATGTGTTTGTAAACGATGACAAGTCACGAGAAACATTGTAGACCTGGTGTCGTAGACCTGGTGTCGTAGACCTGGTGTCGTAGACCTGGTGTCGTAGACCTGGTGTCGTAGACCTGGTGTCGTAGACCTGGTGTCGTAGACCGGGTGTCGTAGACCGGGTGTCGTAGACCGGGTGTCGTAGGCCTGGTGTCGTAGGCCTGGTGTCGTAGACCGGGTGTCGTAGGCCTGGTGTCGTAGGCCTGGTGTCATAGGCCGGGTGTCGTAGACCGGGTGTCGTAGACCTGGTGTCGTAGACCGGGGTGTCGTAGACCGGGGTGTCGTAGACCGGGTGTCAAACTGGGTATCATAGACTGGATGTCGTAGACTGGGTGTCATAGACTGGGTATAGTAGACCGGGTGTCGTAGACCGGGTGTCGTAGACCGGGTGTCGTAGACTGGGTGTAGTAGACCGGATGTAGTAGACCTGGTGTCATAGACTGGGTATAGTAGACCAGGTGTCAGACTGGGTGTCGTAGACTGGGTGTCAGATTGGGTGTTATAGACTGGATGTCAGACCGGGTGTTGTAGACCTGGTGTCGTAGACCGGGTGTTGTAGACCCGGTGTCATAGACCTGTTATCGTAGACCTGGTGTCATTCAGTGGTGGGTCTGTACTCTGGATGACTGCTACTGTCTTCTGATTATTTACCTGTGATGCATGATTGTATGAATTTTATAATAATTGGAAAAGTTTTTTATCTATAATAATGTTTCACCATAGTCTCCTTTTTATTTTTTACCTTTCCTCATCCCATGAAAATGGAAAATGTGAAAATGAACAATAAAGATAAACAATAAATACTTAATATCTCATGTATTATTGATTTGCTTTATCAGCTTGTTTTTGTAAAGCATAATTAGGTTGGATTCACACCAACAAAATTGAAGCAATTGTTTCAATTTATTAATATTTATATTTTTTTATTTCTAGAATTCTGGGGTACAGCAATGGCAAGTCCAACGGCTAGTACACCTACAGCTGACTGTCCTCGTAGTGCTGCCCCAACGCCATCTCCACGTCCTCACGACCTCTCTTTCAGTAGTTTTGGCAAAGGTGGTGTCACTAGAGGGATTTCCTCCACCAGTTTGTTGTCTCCACAGACACTAGGAGGCCTATGTGCTTCAGGAGCATCACTTGGCAGCTCAGTGGGAGGATCCATAGGAGGGTCAACTTCTTCTTTAGCACCAGTGCGACCAGCTCCTCCTGCACCACCCTGTGGTGATCGATCATCGCTCAATTTAAATTTAGCCCCTCTTGAAGAATTTTTGAAGGAACAGCCAACATTTTCCTCATTTCGCTCTCAACCAGCTACTCCAGTTACTCAACTCAAGCCCAGTACACCCGGTACAAAGCCTACACCACCACCTCGCTCTAGTCCCCCTGGCACCCATTGGTCCACTCAGATCAGCCCTTCAGGATCACACAGGCCTTTAAATAAGCCAACTCCACCTGCTAGATTTAGCCCACCAATAATGTGTGAGGTAGGGACTCCCACCCATGAAAATGGAGAAATAATTCCTCGCCTCGCCCAAGCCCCACCACCGCCAAGACGTTGGGCACGATCCTGCATAACCACATCACCATCAAATATTACTGTCAAAACTACATTAACTCTGAATGTTAACCAAGTGAAAGCTTTACCTGTCCATCTAGATGATTTTCATATACATGTAGCAAATTTAGAAATCTCCCCAACAGGCAGTAACTGTTCTCAGTCAAATATCACAACTACTACTCCTAATGGGAATCAGAATGGCACTTTAAATGGTTACAGAGATGGTCTTCATTTACAAATTCAACAGCAAATAACCTCTCCTCAGAGCACACCTTGTACACCCTGTGCTCCAAGCACTCCCATAGAAGAGGCTACTGGAATGCCAAGGGTTCGTTTACGCAGTGGAAGAAGAGATAGACGAAGGCTTTCCAATCACTATCATGAAGCAAATATTGTTGACAATAATTCATCTTACTGTCGATCATCTCTAAACGATAAGATTAGCGACTATGAAGATGTGTGGCCCAGCTCACCTCATGAATCACCAACTCCATCATCGTCATCGCAACCCAAAATGTCGACTTTCAAACCTCGCAACGAAATCTCAAAATCAATGGGAGATCTAAGTGAAATAGCTAAAAATACAAAACCAGTGCATTTCACATATGAGACAGACAATAAAAAGGATAATGAAAGTATATACAATGATGAAAAAATTAATGGTAATAGTTCAGACTCGGTGAACTCGTATCGTAAAAATTCTAGCCCCTTTTACATGGAGCCAGCAGATGCACTAAAAGATCAACAGCCTCAGGCAAGGATTAATAAGGCTTCAAACAAATTATCAAGAAAAACTACAAATCGTTACTCAGATTCTAATATCCAGTGGAAAACTAGAAAGAGTCATAACTCGCTGGGCAAGATAGACTCAAATGAAGATCTACCATTATCATCAAGTGTTGAAAATTTAGTGAATGAGAAAAATCATGACACGCTCAATATGAATTTGGAAGATGAAAAGAACAAGAACCTTGAAAGTGAAAAAAATAAGGTAAATGCTGGACATTTAGTAAATGGGCAATCAAGAAATGAAGTTAGGCGCCACTCGCGAATTGGGGGCAGAGGGAAGCCTATAGCCCCACCTAGAGTAAATAATGAAGCTTTGATTTCTAATGGTGAACCAACTACAGATACTGCTTGCCATGTTGCTTCTTCGTGGGAGTATCAGTATGGTGCTGGGTCAGACAATGAAGAGTCTCCATCGGGAGAAGGTAGATTTCCAGTGGGTGATACTGGAGAATCAGATAGTGTGATAATTCCTGGTGATAGAACAGTGCAAGATTTAATTTCAGAAAAACTCCCAGATTTGACTTTGGATGCTCACTCTCTCGCACCAAGTTATGTTACACGTATTAGTGAGTATGATAATGTAGGAGGGCATGGTAGTGTTAGAGGAGAGGAACATAATTCCCAACAGCAGAGACAGCACCAGCAAAAAACTCCACGCACCATTCCTCTTGAAGAGCGCCTTCACCCACCCCTCCCTACCCATTATTTCCCGTCAACTGTAAGCGATTCAGGCACAGAGTTCTCAGAACCTTGGGACTCGAGAAAATGGGAATCAATAATGCACTTCGAAGATGATTCATCTGTTGATCAGTATCCACGTAGCTCAATAGAAACTCCAGCTTTACGTCCTTATGCTCTTGAAGACTCTGATATGGGTGGGGCAGGAGTTACAGACACAGACTCGTTTATTCATGTGGTTGGGGATGTAAGTGATAATGAAACTGTTTCAATCTCTGGCACTCCACCATTGTCCCTCATAAATGCGCACAACCTCGACACACAACAACGGTCTAGAATAAGTAAGTGTCTTTTATTGTATATAATTAAGTAAATATTTATCTGCTTTAAAAATGTAATGTTCTGAAGAAAGCATGTACAAGGTATGATCAGTAAGTTTAATTTCATTGTAACTGGTGGGAAAGTGTAGTTGCTTCGTCTGCACACTCAGTATTTCATTATGAGGGTCTGGTACACCACAACTTCGTTCCACAAGAATTTTTTTATATACAATATTCTGCTTCACAATGCATTAGTGAAACACTGAGAAAGAAACCATATTGGTCTGCCTTTAAATGAAACAAATTCGTGGTGGCTAAGGGTCTTCAATACTGTGCCGAATATAATGTAAAATACCAAAATGGCTGCACTCGTATATTCATTGTAATAAAGTACTGTACTCTTTGAGGCATCGAGTCTCGAGATATTCAGCAAACATTCGTACAGTATATCACATGTCGGATCTTTCTGATCACACCTTGTATATCAGTAAATGTTTTGTTACATTTTTCTTGCATTCAATTTTGCCTTCTTCCTGAATCCATCAGGATGACTTGTCAATGTGATAACACTGTACATCTCTGTAACACATTTTAACACACTGTTATGCTAACTGCCCACCACCTATAAACTGATAACCCTCACATTAGCATCCTGACATGCCTAATACTTACATACTGACAACCCTCCCACCTGCATACTCACAGCCTTTTCTCTGTATGCTAACAGCTATTGTTTATGTCCTGACAGTCCTTCCATCTATATACTGACAACTTGTTCACCTTTATACTGACAGCCATCACCTATATATTTATAGCCCTGCAACATACATACAGATAGCTTTGCCAGATGCTTACCCCCTAACTATTTCTATCATACTTGATTCCCCTTGCCTTCCATATATTTACTTGTGAACACTTATTTCCATTCCATCTAGCCTTTCCACCCAGTGCTGGGTGAAAATTTATATTCATCACTGTATCACATTTTTTTCTGATTTAAATCACTTTCAGTATTTGATTTGTCTTTTTCTGCATATTAACTCTTTTTAAACATTCATTCTCAGTATGCACCCTTTGGTATTTTAACCAATAACTCGAATTCTTACACTCCACTAACCTTGACATTGCCTTATATGTGTATGACATAATTCTCTTATGTTATAACTGCAACAGCCATTAATTCTTTGTTTGCAAAAATAGTCCTAATCCTATGCAAGTGTTTTCAGTCAAATACTTTTATATATTTTAATATACTATAATACTTTAATATAACCTGTACTATAGTTACTAAAAATCAATCTATAATTTTACTGTATCATGTAAATCTGGCATTTACAAAAGAATATTCATCAATGTCAATGTAGGTTGCATTAAGAACAGAATACTTACACTTGCAAGAATTTCAGTGTACTATGTAGCATATTAAATTAATAGAGCACACTTCATCTTTCAGTGTCACCCCAGTTATTAGCTTTACGGCAACGTCAAGATGCTGAAAATGGTGTCGCTATTAAAGTCTACGCTATGGACTTGGGAAGCGACACATCTACAACTTTCAGCCAGGCTGTCACCAACTTTATTACCTGCACCTTAGAAAGCCCCGAGCGGGATCCTGCCATTGTCACTCGCAATGTACGTCAGTTTATGTCTGGCATGAAGAACTACTTGGTAACAAGTGGCGAGAAGGAATTTGAAGCAATAGTAAAGAGACAGCGAAGTAATGTAAGTCTTACCAGTTTACATAAATTCACTCTCTAGGTACAAAATTGACCTACTTTCAACAGAACATGATAGGAACAAGAGTATTTTTTAGATGACTGTAAGCCTGATTATAGAAGAATAATGTTGTCAGATTTTTAGATTTTCAGCACTATCATTCTGTACTATTGAACTTGATATTGATAACACTTGATAAACTCTCGTGGTAAATTGGGGCTTCTAAAAGAAGCTCCCAACATTCTCATCATGTTCTCCTTTTTTAACTATATTTTGTGTTTATGAATATTCATGTGCAGTATATCTGAGGAAGGTTGCGAGATGAAAGATTGCTAAATGAAAATGAGCAAATGAGCATGACATCACCACGTTGCTGTCTGCGCAACTCTCCTATTCCCGGGAGGGAGAAAGGGGAGCCCCAGACCCCTGCGCCGGCTATCCACACCGCAGTTCTGAGGCTGGATGTCAAAAACTCACGAAAAACTGCCTACCGAAGGGAGGAAGGGTTACGGGGAAGCCTCCAGATCTCACCCAGAAAATGGTGTTTCATTGCATTTAATGCTGGTTTTCTAGGGGAGCTCCCTTTGGCTCCAAGGAGCTACTTACCCAAAGACAAAAACAAGAGGGACTTACCCAGGAGGCGGCCGGCACTTGCACCTCAACTCGAAGTCGAGACAACTGGCTGCAATCGCCGACCCAACGCAACACAGGCCCAACTAGACCCAGGAACATTGACAAGGTAGCGAGTGGCCAAGACTCTGACCTCCAAAAACCCCACGCCGAATGTCAGCTTAAGACACGTTACCGAAGACAGCAGCCAGCGCAGCAAACTTATGAACGTCGTGGGCACGGGAATAGAACACAGGCTGGCTGGGCCAAATAACCTTGCGAACAATGAGACTGAGACACCCAAACCCTTGAACAGGGAAGAAGGGAAACTGGGCAACCCAAAGCGCGTCTCCGGCCACAGAGGCCGTGGTGGGCAGGTAACGGCGGAGAGCTGTGACCGGACACAACACATGATGCACCCCTGGCGGAACCAACCAAGCATCAACAACCCAAGGACCTCTCCGAAAAGAAGCAGTCTTATTCTTCACCAGAAAAGGAGAAGACGGCTGCAAACAAACAAACCTACCACCAGTATCGAAAGAGCAGAAACCCCCTTGCGCCGGAGGAGAGCATGAAGATCCCTGACCCGACTCCCAGAGGTCAATTCCAACAAGAATAAGAATCTTGGAGAAACAATCCTGAACCGAAGGGACCACCACAAACCGAGGGGAATGAGATAAGGAGCACCCGATCCAAAGACCAGGATGGCTCAGACGGTACATGAGCAGGCCGGATTGGAAACAACGCCTGAGACAGCTTGCGGAATGGTGCAGAAGTAACATCAATGCTGAACACAAGCTGCAGCAGCTCCGCCAGCACCGCACGATACGAGGTGACAGTATTCGGCATAAGATGATGGTCCTGGAACAACCACGAAAGGAAGGACAAAACCCAAACAGAGACCGAAGGAATCTGACGAAGGGACAAGAAATACCAGAAGAATTGCCAGGAAACTTCATACTGCCACCAAGACAAAGCACGCAAGTGGGAGACCAACAACGAAGCCACCTGCTCACCATACAAGTGGTAATAGACTCTAGTCAGAAAGACTAGATGCGAAGACTCGAGGAGAAGATCGAACCAGCCTTGTAATGGACTGGTCCAATCTGCTGAAAGAGGCAGAGCCAAGACCCCCGGGTATGGACACTGAGCAAGCAGCGCCTGAAACCAAGGCTGGGCCCGCCACCAAGGAGCCATGAGGACTGCTTTTCCTTGGTAAGTCTCCAAGTGAGCTAGGACCTGGTGGAACAGCGGAACCCGGGGGAAGAGATACGGGTAACCCAAGCTTGACCAGTCCTGCCGCAAGGTATTGACCCCGACAGCCTCACAGTGAGGGAAGGGCGCCAGGAATACAGGAAGACGCCTCAACTATGCTGACACAAAGAGGTCTACCTCTGGGAGTTCGTATGTCTGGCAGAGCCATCTGAAGGAGTCGGCGTTGACTGTCCATTCCGTGGACAGGGGAATGAACCGAGGGAGTCCATCTGCCAGGATGTTGGACACCCCCAGAACATGAGCGGCCTGGAGAGCCAAACCCCGAGAACTTAGCAGACGAGTCACCCGAAACGACCAGCCCCCAAAGAGCCAAGGACAGCATCGAACCCCCTCGATTCAAGCAATGAACCGCCGGGGAGCAGTCTGAATGGTGTTGGATCGTCGATCTGGGAGAGACTCGATCCCTCCGAAGTGACATCCACAACGCCACAAACTCCAGCACCGTGAGTTTGACGCATCCGTGAACACAACAAGCGAGGGCTCGGGTAGGCGCCAAGGCACTGAACCCAAAAAAATCCGAAGAGAAAGCCGGAGACGCAGCAGCTGACATAAGGCCCCCGGAGGCCGAACCAAGCGATCGCCAGAGTGGCGGAAGGGACGTCCCCGAAGGAACCAGAACAGCCGACGAAGCCAAACCTGTTCCGGTGGGTAGACCATCACGGCAAAGTTCAGTCTCCCGCACAAACCCTCGAGCAACCGCCGGGTGACCCGGAAGCCTCCCCAGAAACAGGCGAAGGTGGGACTGCAGCCGAAGCAGTGACTGGAGGGAGAGAATAGGAAGCAGTCCAAGAGTCCCACACAAGACCCAGCCAAGACCAAACCTGAGAACGAACCAGATGGGACTTCCTCTAGTTCAACAGGAACCTGAATCCGGTGAGCTGGGAAAGAACTATATCCCTGGCGAGCAGACATGTGGACTGGCTGGGAGCCCACACCAGCTAGTCGTCGAGATAGGCCAGAACCCAAACCCCCTAATAAATGCAGACCGGCCACCACGACCCGGGTAAGACGTGAAAATGTGAGGTGCCAAATTGAAGCTAAAAGGAAGGCAATGAAAGTCGTAACCCTGACATCCCACAACAAAACTGAGCCAGTCCCCCAAACACCAAATGAAACAGGACATGCCAATATGCATCCCAGAGGTCCAGGGACACCATCCAAGCACCCGGCTCCAAGAGAAGCCAGACCTGGGAGAGAGTAGTCATCTGAAATGAGGGGCAATAGACCCAGGGGTTCGGATGGGACAAGTCCAGAATGAACCTCGGGTCCACACAGTCCCATTTCAGGACTGGAAACAGACAGGAAACCCACCTGAGGGAAGTCGTCATTTCAACCATGACCAAGCACACACCCACTCCGGGATGACACGACAGAGCACAGGAGAAGAGACCTGCCTCGCCAGCCCCGAATCCCACCGAAGGAGGAGGGGCCACCTAACACCACTGTAGGCCGCTCAAAACGACCCGAAAGGCCCACAAATCGTGGGACCAGACATAAGCAAACAGAGCGAGCCACCTTCCCCCCCCCCCCCCCCATCGCCCCGTCCATGGGACAAACTGCGAAAGGGCTAATGCCCCTTAAGTGAACTCGACCTTCTCACAGAGCGATCACCGCACTAACCAGATGAAGACAATTCCAAAGGCTGCGCCAGCCCAAAAACTGGCACTACTGGCCTATCATGACGGTAAGAACCCTGATCCCTGGTATGACCCTTCCTGGAAGACCCCCCCATGCCCCCCCCCCTACAGCCCCCCATGCCCCCCCCCCCCACAGCCCCCCATGCCCACCCCCCCCCACAGCCCCCCATGCCCCCCCCACAGCCCCCCATGCCCCCCCCCCCCCCCCCCCCCCCCCCCTCACGCCCCCCCCCCACTCACGCCCCACTCACGCCCCCACCCCACTCACGCCCCCCCCCCCCACTTACGCCCCCCCAAAACTCATGCCCCCCCTTTACGCCCCCCCCCCCACTCATGCCCCCCCCCCCCCCTGCCCCCCCACGACCCCCACGACCCCCCTCCCCCGAAGAACCAACAAGTCCAACATTGGACGACGACTGGAAGACAACAGACAAGGGACCAAAGGGCGATGAAAACCTAAGAGCCAGGGCCCAAGCAGATTCCAAGGAGGTCACGAGCGCTGCCTGCCTACATGTGAGCCGAGGAACAAATAAGACACACAGGCATCTCGCAGGATCGGCAGGAACAGCTTCAACAGGGCAGATGACGCACGCACCGCCGAGACCAAGGCACCAGACTCGGGAATGGCCCCAAGCGCCTCCACATCCTCCTCAAGCCAATCTGAGGACAGCTCCAGGAGGGAAAAGAAACGCAAGACCAAAGCCAACAGGCCACGAGTGCACAAATCCTCAGCAACCAGTGCAGCCGAAAAGTGGGAACCTGCACGTGAAGCTGTATGATGCCGACATCCTGAGGAAGGGCAGGGACGAACAAGTACGCATTGAGGTGCTCAAACCCATCCCCCAGGTAAACCTGGACCACCATCAGAGCCTCACGCTACTCATGTGTGCGGGACCAACAGAATGTATGCCATGCCTCCAACGAAAAACAGGGCAGTCTGCAAGCCAGGATGACTTTGGAACCTCATAACCTACCCAGTAAGGAAACGAAGATCCAAACCTGAATGAAGATGGACCCATGAAAGAGGCGTAATCTGGATCGCGCAGAAGGTATGTGGGAAGCCAAAAACCTCCGGAAGGACGGACCACCGAACCTGAAGGGACACGGAACCGAACCCTGAGGTGTCAGTTGCCATGGTGGCATGTGATCCACCCTGAGGTGTCAGTTGCCATGGTGGCATGTGATCCACCCATGAGGTGTCAGTTGCCTGTTTTTTTTGTTTTTGTTTTTTTTGGCAGGGATATTCCTGCGCGGGCCCTAAGCCTCTGGCTGGCCCACTAAGTGTTGATAAATGTTTTGTCTGGCCCGTAAAACAATTGCCATGGTGGCATGTGATCCACCCTGAGGTGTCAGTTGCCATGGTGGCATGTGATCCACCCTGAGGTGTCAGTTGCCATGGTGGCATGTAATCCACCCGTGAGGTGTCAGTTGCCATGGTGGCATGTGATCCACCCTGAGGTGTTAGTTGCCATGGTGGCATGTGATCCACCCGTGAGGTGTCGGTTGCCATGGTGGCATGTGATCCACCCTGAGGTGTCAGTTGCCATGGTGGCATGTGATCCACCCTGAGGTGTCAGTTGCCATGGTGGCATGTAATCCACCCGTGAGGTGTCAGTTGCCATGGTGGCATGTGATCCACCCTGAGGTGTTAGTTGCCATGGTGGCATGTGATCCACCCGTGAGGTGTCAGTTGCCATGGTGGCATGTGATCCACCCTGAGGTGTCAGTTGCCATGGTGGCATGTGATCCACCCTGAGGTGTCAGTTGCCATGATGATGTACATCAATGCAGGTGACATAAACATGTAACCATAATCATAAAATTTGTGCATTCTATTAAGATATATAAAGAAATATGACCAAGATGAACTATAATTTATTTCATATAAGTTTGTTAATTCAGATTTTGTAAATGGTCATAAGATTGGCATAAGTTCTCTAATAAAGAAAATATATTTAAAATGCTGTTTGCAGTTTTGTGTAACAGCCCACCAATTTTTGATAGTAGTAGTAGTACAAGTGTGTTAGTATTAGCCAATAAAATAATCAATGTCCTGTGAATATAAGGCCAATATTGGATTTTACAAGTTAGTTGTGTGCCTGCACCTTCACTTTTATTTTCAAGACTGGTGAATACATCTTAAGGTATACATTTCATCCCTACAAGCTCACCAAAGGGTAATACTGCAGTGCAAATGCTATAAATTAAGTCATCTAATACGAGAATGATTTAATATCTCTGCCTTTATTGTACAGCAAGGCAGATCTTGAAAATATTTCAGCTACTGCAAAAATTTAACTTCAACTCAACCACCTATTTATGATGTCTAATAAAGTGCCATATTGCAGTGCAATATAGACAACAAGGATATACCGAGACAAAAACAGTAATCACTTGTGTGGAAAATAGGGTAATGCTGAAATAGGCCTAATATTTTTGTTTCTATTTTGATTTTGATTAGCAACAGTTGTTTTTAGTACAGTGGAACCTCGAGTGACGAGCATTTCGAGTAACGAGCGAGTTACTCGCAGAAAATTTGTCTCGATTGACAACCTTTCGCTCGATTAACAAGCAAACCACATGGTGCTTCTTAGTGTTCCCGCTGGTTCTCGGACGCCTCTGACGACAGTGTTGCTGTTGCTTCGCAAGATGAGCGTTTCACATGACGAGCTCGGTGCCAGAACGGATTAAATTCGGTAATCAAGACACAACTATATGCATTTCTTTGGTTATGAATTAAATGTGGAATTATTTGTTATACTATGCTTATACTATTATCTTCTTTAACAGCTAAAGGCAACAGAGTTTCTTAATCTGGATGCCATCTTGGAAGATGTTCTGGTCCGGCTTGTGGTTCGCCCTCTGTGGAATCACATCAATAAGCTTTTTGTAGAAGCATACTCAGCCAGTGGCTCAATCCAGTTATTGGCAGCAAAAATGAAATACGCAAGAGCACAACCAAAGAACCGTCTTGGCATTAGGGTAAGTTACCTGAAAAAGAAATGTGTGCTGAAAAAGAAATATTAGTTTTTAATACTGAATGGCTTGAATGTACTGTACTGTAATAACGTTGTTATTCATATTTATAAGATTGTCTGGTTATGTGAATGATAATTCAGCTACAACCAGGTAATGGCATGTAATTTATCAGTCTTATCTGGATTTGTATATATAATTCATTGTTTATATAGTTTTATATAATAGTAGATGGGGTACCTGGCTGTGCCTGGGTCTCTCTCTATCCCAATCTTCCATCTCTCTCATCTGTCTTCCCTCTTCCCTACCTCTCTTCCCACAGTCCATCCTCCTGTTTAGGTAGTACTTATTGTAATGATAAGGACCATCATACATATACAGTACTGACATACAAGACAATTAGAAAAGTAGAAATCGGTACTATTGAATTTGGACAAACTAGAAACGTTTTTGTATTGAAGTTGCAAAGAAAACTTAACCTAGCCTAACATTCCTAGGCTAGGTTCACGCTAAGGTTTAATTCACGCTGAGGCCTAATATTGTACATACCATATATGTGCTATACAGTACTATGCTTAGGAATATTAAAGTTTGACTTTTAAGTGCCACACAGTATGGTATAGTAGGCATCCATCAGTCTTAGGAGACTATGGAGTTGCTCTCTGGTGTCTGGTTTGCCACACAGTAGCATTTAGGTAATTACACACACACACACACACACACACACACACACACACACACACACACACACACACACACACACACACACACACAACACACACACACACACACACACACACACACACACACACACACACACACACACACACACACACACACACACACACACACCACACAACACACACCACACACACACAACCACCACACACACACACACACACACACCACACACACACCACACACACACACACACACACCACACACACACAACACACACAACAACCACACACACACACACACACACACACACACACACACACACACCCACAACCAACACACACACACACACACACACACACACACACACACACACACACACACACACACACACACACACACCCACACCACCCAAAACACACACACACACACACCCACACCCACACACACACACACACAAACACACACACACACACAAACACACACACCACACAACACACACACACACACACACACACACACACCACACACCCACACACACACACACACACACACACACACACCCACACACACACAAACACACACACACACAACACACACACACCCTCAATTATAGACCTGTATCATTGACAAGTGTAATAGTGAAAGTATTGGAAAAGCTAATCAAAACTAAATGGGTAGAACACCTGGAGAGAAATGATATAATATCAGACAGACAGTATGGTTTTCGATCAGGAAGATCCTGTGTATCGAATTTACTCAGTTTCTATGATCGGGCCACAGAGATATTACAGGAAAGAGATGGCTGGGTTGACTGCATCTATCTGGACCTAAAAAAGGCTTTCGACAGCGTTCCACATAAGAGGTTGTTCTGGAAACTGGAAAATATTGGAGGGGTGACAGGTAAGCTTCTATCATGGATGAAAAATTTTCTGACTGATAGAAAAATGAGGGCAGTAATCAGAGGCAATGTATCGGAATGGAGAAATGTCACAAGTGGAGTACCACAGGGTTCAGTTCTTGCACCAGTGATGTTTATTGTGTACATAAATGATCTACCAGTTGGTATACAGAATTATATGAACATGTTTGCTGATGATGCTAAGATAATAGGAAGGATAAGAAATTTAGATGATTGTCATGCCCTTCAAGAAGACCTGGACAAAATAAGTATATGGAGCACCACTTGGCAAATGGAATTTAATGTTAATAAATGTCATGTTATGGAATGTGGAATAGGAGAACATAGACCCCACACAACCTATATATTATGTGAGAAATCTTTAAAGAATTCTGATAAAGAAAGAGATCTAGGAGTGGTTCTAGATAGAAAACTATCACCTGAGGACCACATTAAGAATATTGTGCAAGGAGCCTATGCAATGCTTTCTAACTTCAGAATTGCATTTAAATACATGGATGGCGATATACTAAAGAAGTTGTTCATGACTTTTGTTAGGCCAAAGCTAGAATATGCAGCTGTTGTGTGGTGCCCATATCTTAAGAAGCACATCAACAAACTGGAAAAGGTGCAAAGACATGCTACTAAGTGGCTCCCAGAACTGAAGGGCAAGAGCTACGAGGAGAGGTTAGAAGCATTAAATATGCCAAAACTAGAAGACAGAAGAAAAAGAGGTGATATGATCACTACGTACAAAATAGTAACAGGAATTGATAAAATCGACAGGGAAGACTTCCTGAGACCTGGAACTTCAAGAACAAGAGGCCATAGATTTAAACTAGCTAAACACAGATGCCGAAGAAATATAAGAAAATTCACCTTCGCAAATAGAGTGGTAGACGGTTGGAACAAGTTAAGTGAGAAGGTGGTGGAGGCCAAGACCGTCAGTAGTTTCAAAGCGTTATATGACAAAGAGTGCTGGGAAGACGGGACACCACGAGCGTAGCTCTCATCCTGTAACTACACTTAGGTAATTACACTTAGGTAATTACACACACACACACACACACACACATATATATATATACACATACATTTACATAATATGAGACCAAATTTACCCTTAATACACAAACACCAGCACTAATACCTATAAATTTGAGTAACACAATCCCAAGGAACCACAAAAATAGTGGAAAACTCGACTGAAGAATTTTTCAATGGTAAGGATCCAACCAAACCAATGCAGATGATAATGATAATTGGAGTGCTGTTCAGTTACATAATCCAGAGACCAAAAACAGCCTTCTAGGTGTGCACACAAAAAAATCTATCAGTAGCATGAGTCCACTACACAAAAGTGCATACAAGAATATTCAGGAGAATGTGAGGTAGGCAGATTTTTTGTACTCTGTTGACATGAAGGTGCTGACACTTAGTGGTTGTTAAGGGTAGTGGTGAGGCAAGTAGCAGAGCACTCCTTAATACCCAGTACTGCTTGGAAGGAATTCGAGTGTAGATGAATTACCTTTCTTGATGTTATTCTGAGTTTGATTGAGAGTTTTGCCACATCTCTGTGATCCAATGTAAAATGTTCTGCCTTTCTTGACTGTGCATAGTCCTGCGTGTGGGAATAGCGTGATGATGATGCTGAGAATAGCGGTACCACTAAGTGATACAGCTCAGAAACTTTTCATTCTCATTTATTTCATCACAATGTGCATAGGCAATCACAGTTGCCACCTTAACTATCTCAAACATGAATTTTATACACTACTACCTTGAATTGTAGTACAAGTTTTCTTTGCTTCATACCTCTTTGTTCATTAACCCCTTAACTGCGTTGCCTCCAAATGTGACACCCCCGCAGTGCGCAGGAAATAAATTCTCTGGAAAAAATTCTTTTTTCTTTTTAAAGTGTCAAAAACACTTCCCTCAGTATGGGTATGTAAAAAAAAAGTCGAAATTGTACTTACTTTGGCTGCTATGGGGTCCGGAATTTGGGGCGTGACGTCATCATTCCCCGTGCGCCCGTGCCGTAAGCTCTCGGGGGCGGTGGGGCGCTCGGGGCGGGGTGCGCGAGTTGCCGCGAATATATTTTCGTTCATTTTTTGCGCACCTTTCCAAATACATTTTCATTGTTTTTATGTGCCAATCCAATGTATAATGAACACGTACACTATAATATCGCAGTACAACATCCGTACTGTCCGTAGACACTGTGTTACGTGCATGAAACTTGTGTACACATATGCAGCACATATTTACTATGTATAATGCTAATTTGTGTATATATACAATCTATTTACACACTATACACTGTCACACACTATATACATTCACCATCAACACATTCAGAGCAGCTGCCTCGTATGGGCCAATAGCAGCTACCCCATATGGGCCAATAGCAGCTGCCCCATATGGGCCTATAGCAGCTGCCCCGTATGGGCCAATAGCAGCTGCCCCGTATGGGCCAATAGCAGCTGCCCCGTTTGGGCCAATAGCAGCTGCCTCGTATGGGCCAATATGAGCTGCCTCGTATGGGCCAATATGAGCTGCCTCGTATGGGCCAATAGCAGCTGCCTCATATGGGCCAATAGCAGCTGCCTCGTATGGGCCAATAGCAGCTGCCTCGTATGGGCCAATAGCAGCTGCCTCGTATGGGCCAATAGCAGCTGCCTCGTATGGGCCAATAGCAGCTGCCTCGTATGGGCCAACAGGAGCATTTGGCCATGAACACATTCAGGACACCTCGAGTGAGAGCAGCCACACCCAGCCAGTCTTCCTCACTCCAACATCTTACTCGCCAACATTGCTCCTCCCACCATATTGTTATAGTTCTTATTACACATGTTCTATATACCTATCTACATGTTTTATTTACCAGAACTATGCAAGTAAGCCGGTATTGTGTCCAAACAGTACAGTGGCCGCTATACACTGCATGAAAAATCACACAGCAGACGACGCTACGATTACGTCACCTCCCTCACCAAAATAGCTCCTCTCAACATTCTCCCGTTGCTGTTCTTACACTATATGCACACACTATATATACCCATGTACATATGTGTTGCCCATAGCGAACCACTAAGCTAGTATGGTGAGCAAAACAAGAGTGGCAGCCACACACACAATGAGGCTACCTCAGTTCTCGCCCTCCCTCATCAAAATTCCTCCTTCCACAATACTACGCACAACGCTAATTATAACCACAATCCTGCTATTATCACAATCCTGGTCACTAATTCCTGTAAATAAATAATTGACCACACGTTTATTTTGAAAAGGAACCTAAGAAATCATTTGAAGATTCCTAGATGAAAGAAATAATGCTGTGGTGCTGTGGCTAGCGCTGTGAACATCGTGAACAGCATTGAATCACTGATATTTGAACATTGTACCCAGTCATTATCACACTCAGGCTCTAATATAACACTATCATAGCTAAATAATACAAGTTATATATATATTTTAACATTATTAGGCGATGCTGTGGTCACATGCTGAACAGCAGTGCTGTGCGCTCATGCTGCGAGCGCCAGGCTTGGTTGCTCACACACTACTGAGGCTCCCACACCCGGGAATGTGAACCACGATTTTTTTTAAGGATGGCGTCTGTTTACATGAGCCCTGAGGAAGCTGATGTGAACCCCATGTAGCCGCGGGAGTTTTGAATTACAGTAGTTTTACAGTCTCCGTGGTGTAGTGGTAAGACACTCGCCTGGCGTTCCGCGAGCGCTTTGTCATGGGTTCGTATCCTGGCCGGGGAGGATTTACAGGGCGCAAATCCTTAACTGTAGCCTCTGTTCAACGCAACAGTAAAATGTGTACTTGGTTGTAACGACGATTCTTCGCGGCGGGGATCGTATTCCAGGGACCTGCCCGAAACGCTACGCGTACTAGTGGCTGGTAACAACTCTTGTATATATCTCAAAAAAAAAAAAAAAAAAAAAAAAAAAAAAAAAAAATAATATGGAACGGGAAAAATACAAATACCCGGAGGCGCGTTGCGCAAACCAGACGTGAGCCTGCAGGCGCGTTGCGCAGTTTAAGGGTTAAGAGGCCTACTCTTCATTTTCTTACACTCCTAATTCTCATTTCCTTTATTCTTTGTCTCGCTTAAATCTATTATTAAACTAACCTTCTATATAAACTTTCACCACTTCCGGTTTCTTTAATCATAAACTTACGTCTTGCAGCCATACATAATCTGCGTTTGGTTTCCGAGTCCTAGGAAGAAATTTTCAGATGGAGCCAAGTCCATATTCCCCAACTCCTATAATGCAGGGTATGTCAGGCTCATTGCACTACATAGTGGTTGATAGTTAATGATAATTGGTAAAAACTCTTACATTTCTTTTCTTTTCTTTTCAGTCCGAGTTGTCACCACCAAGTGGACAGTCTCTTGAAGCTATCCGCAGTCTGTTAACACGTATGCAGAAGTTGTTCGCTCCAAGAGAAAAACTAGAACTCCTATTGGATACCATCTCGCACATATATAGAGCTGTACGTGTTGCATTTAATTTAATTTTTTGAACACTGTAATACTATATAAGATATATAATATTAATTTATCAGAGATACAGTATTTTATACACATGTAAACTGCACAAATTGTGTATGTAATTCCTTGTAGGACAGAGTAGGGATTGGTTTGGAAGATTTTTGGGAAAATATTTGTTTAAAACTAGATATTGCATGCAGATTCATTTGAATATAGCATAGTACAGTATAGCTATATAATTTGGTTTTGAAAAGTCCTCACAATAAAGTGCAGAGGTAGAAAATGTTAAGTTACTTTCTGTAAATTGTCCAAATCCTCACCACAGGGAGGATTTGTTCAATGTGATTATCTCCCATGTGATTTACCTGTCACATCAGAGAAAAGAGACTATGTACACCAACATTTTACATGATTGAAATATTATTTAAGTCTAAATAAGGCTAAACAAAAAATGTACAGTATTAACAAAAGACACATTAAATAAAAAATACATCTATTCTTTGAGAAGTATTACATGCATTTCTGTGGAGAGAGCCCCTCTGGCTCCCTGGAGTTATCAGGCTAGTATGTGTCATATTAGTCTGGGGCATCAGTCAATTGCAGTTCAGCTTACCAGGGACCAAGAGCCAGAACCTGGCCCCCTCAGAGAGGCAAAGGGAGCAATGGCCTATGGAAACCCCCTTATATTTGGGGGCATTCCATGTCTGCCATCGACTGGGGTTAGGACCCAGATAGGTAGGCATAACAAAACAGACTCCACATGGTAAGAAAAATGCAACCGAAGACCGGACAGTGGCGGAAGTTTCCTTATTTAAAGAAACAAGAAAACGTCACACTCCGCCGTCACGCCACTTGTCCGCGCAGCCCTTCCCTCCCAGGGAGGGGGAGGGGGAGGGCCCCCGGACACCCCGCGCTGGCTACTCAACTCCAATTCGTTAACTGATGTGGTCCAGGGCGGACGTTGACGCTGGCCTTAGATTCTGGGCAGTTGTGTACCTTAGTGGTGTGCACCTGGTTTGTGTGTGGCACAGTGGCCAGGTGAAATTTAAGAGTACCGGAGTTGCATGTACTTAGGGTTTTCTTCCCTAGGTGCCCTGCAAGTACTACCCTTGGGTTCTAGGATGCTCTTCCATAGAACTTTCGGGAACCACTTCTGTGGGGGTCTTTGCTGCTTGGTGATTACCCTGCCCTTGGCCAACCAGGGTTTTTGTGGCCTTTGTTTGGCCTTGGGTAGAAAGTGGTATCATTTACTGGTAGGTAGTGCAAGGTACTGCACATCTTGCATGCCTATATGGTGGCTGGTTTCTGTTCCTTCTGGGGACGTTGACCTTTTGCGGAGTTTTTATTTTATTTTTTGCCTTGCCTGGAGGGGGAAGGGGGTCTGCCTGGTTTAGCTATTGGTCCACTTCTGTTGTTTTGGTGGCTCTAAGGAAAGGACCCCAAGATTGTACACATTGTTGGGGTTCAGCTTTAGCAGTTTTTCTTGTTAGTTTGGGCCTAGCCGATTTTGCAGTACCTTCCTTGGGCTTCCCACCTTGGGCTTCCCATAGCAGTCAGCCAGCAGCCCCTGGAAATCCCCATTGGGGCTCATTAGAGTGATGGATGGATTTTCAGAGTTCCACCTCGCCTCGTGCAAGTTGGAATATTGGTGTGTGCCCTTGTCTCAGGGTGACAGTCACCATTTCTATGGGGAGCCCCTACGGCTCCCCGGAGTTTACTGGGCTGAAATGTATGTATTAGACTGTGGCATCAGTCGATGGAGTTCTTGCCTACCGGGAACCACAACCCAGAACCTGGTCCCCTCAGAGAGGCACAAGGAGCAATGGCGTATGGAAACCCCGATGTGTTTGGAAGCTTTCCATGTCTGCTATCGACCGGGGTTTGGCACCCAGGAAGTAGGCATAACAAAACAAACCCCACATGGTAAAAATTGCTACCTAAAACTGAACAGGGGATTAGAACTCCCAAACTAAAACATGCAAATGTCACTAACGCCATTGCGCCGATCGTCGCCCCTCCCCCCCCCCCATGTGAGAGGGGAAGGGATTGCCCCGGACCTCCATACACTGGCCGCCCCAGCTATCAGTTCAGAGGCTGAGCATCAAAAAACACAAACATTTCATTTTGTTGACGACTCAGTTTAAGCCTCGTGCCAGCCGTTACTACACTCTAGTTCCACAGCTGATGTGGATGGTGGCTTCACTGATGGTGTCCCACCTGCGAGCTTCATCTCCGTGACAGTATGAAGTTTCCTGGTGTTCTTTCCATCATTTTCTTTCTCTTCCTAGGCTGTCGTCTATTTTGGATAGGGTTGTCTTGTCCTTTCTCTCTTTTTTGCCTTTTTCAGGACCATCATTTAATGCCTAATACTGTCGCCCCATATCGTGCGGCGCTGGCGGAGCCCTCTAGCTTGCGTTTAGGGTGGATGTCACTTCTTCTCCATTTCGTAATCATTCTCATGCTTTGTTTCATCTCTGGCCTGCTCCGCCTGAGCTGTTCTGATCCTTGAACAGGGTGCTATCCTCGATTCGTGGTGGCCCCTTCGGTTCAAGATTGTTTTTCCAAGGCTCTTTCTGTTGGCATTGGCTTCTGGGGGTCGGGTTGGGGAGCTTCATCCTCTTCTCCGGTGCAGAGATTTCTGCTCTTTCAATCCTGGTAGTTTGTTCGGTTGCAGCCTTCCCCTTCTTTTCTGGTGAAGAACACGACAGCTGCTTTCCAGAGGGATCCTTGGGTCATTGATGCTTAGTTGGTCAGGCCTGGGGTGCATCATGTGTTGTGTCCAGTTGTGGCTCTTTACCGTACCTGCGCACCTTGGCTTCTGTGGCCAGGGATGGTCTTTGGGTTGATCCAGTTTCCCTCGTTCCCTGTTCCAGGGCTCGGGTTTCCCAGGTCGTCCTGGGAACAGAAAGAATATAGAGCACCCGGGCCAACGACCAGGATGGCACCGGAAGCGCATGAGCAGGCCGGAGGTGAAACACAGGAGACAGCTAGCAGAAGTGAGCAGATAGAACAGTAACACCGAGTGCAAGCTGGAGCGGCCCCGCCAGCGCCGCCTGATGCGAGACGACAGTATGCAGCACTAGACAATGGTCCTGGAACAACCCCGAAGGGAAGGACAAGACAACCGAAGACACCAGCAGTCTCCGTGGCGTAGTGGTAAGACACTCGCCTGGCGTTCCGCGAGGGCTTTGTCCTAGGTTTGTATCCTGGCCGGGGAAGATTTACGGGGCGCAAATCCTTAGCTGTAGCCTCTGTTTAACCCAACAGTAAAATGGTTACTTGGTTATAAAAATGATTCTTCGCGGAGGTCGTATTCCAGGGAACAAAGGATTAAGAATTTGCCTGAAACGCTACCCGTACTAGTGGCTTTACAAGAATGTAACAACTCCTGTATATATAAAGAAAAAAAAACTATGAGAGACTGAAGTATACCTACACCATGATAGGAAAACTGGAAGGTCCTCCAGGAACGACTTACTGCCACATTTATTTACTTACTGCCACAGAGAGTACAATGAGAGACGAAGTACGGAGGTGGGAGACCAACAACGAAGCCACCAGTGCCCACACAAGGGACGAGAAACTCAGACAAAACCCTAGATGCGAATCGGGGTGGGGGGGGGGAGGAGAATGATCCAGTTGAGTATCTGGCTGGACCGACCCGCAAAAAGAGGCGGAGCCGTGAGAAGTCACACGGACACCAAGCAAAGCAGCGCCCCAACCAAGGCTTGCCAAAAGAGCCGAACCGGCAGATTCTGCAAACAGCAAGGCCAAAATGGCTGTGAAAACTGAAGAGCCAGGGCCCATGAGGAAAACGAGCACCACGAGCTGAATCTCGAGAAGCGAAGCGAAAAACAGCGACCCTGCAACCCGCAGGAGCAGCGCAACCAGCCCCAGCAGGGAAAAACGACGCACGCGTCTCCTAGTAATATATGAGGAGATATATATATCTCCTCATATATTACCCCCCCCCCCCCAAAAAATAAAATTTGTTGTCAAAATATTGTGCAGTTAGCCTTACTGTAAAACTATGATGGAATCTCAAGACAAACAAACACTTTATTCATGAGAACCCCTCTAAACTCATTCTTTTCATGAGAACCACTGCCTGAACCCATTGTATCCGAAACCAATTTCTTAACCATCCACTGTATCACCACCCTTCCTTACAGCTAGAGTGGTTATTTCATTTGCAAGCTGTTATATTTCACGTGCACCCAAATGGTTCATGAGGTCAATGGCTACGATTTCTTTATTTCAGATGTATGAGAATGGCGACACTTCTGGCTCTGGGGATGCAGACGACCTTGTTCCAATGATTATGTGGGTATTGAGTCAGTCAGGCATGGTGTCTGCAGAGGTGGAAGCAGACTACATGTGGGGTCTGCTGCTTCCCAGTGCCTCCTCTGGTGAAGCATCATACTACCTTGAAGCTTTTCATTCTGCTATTCATGCACTCAAGAATCTCTCACCTTCACCAGAGTCTTCACCAGGAAATAGTCTTGATTCTGTTAGACAGGTAATTTATAATGTGCCTAGTAAAAGTAAAATAATCATGAATATTGAATATACTTCACAATTTTTTTTCTTATTAGTTTTCAGAATGTATGGGTACTATATTTTAATGTAAATTTGATCATAAATTTTATTATTATTTTGTTCTTACTACCTACCTTTTGTTGATTCTGGGAATCAATGTCCTCATGATCAATTGGTCTCTGACCAATTGATCGGGTATCCTTTGAGCATCCATCTAATTGCTAGTAGGTAGCAACAGTAAATATGTAAAAGGGTTGGAGGAGCCAGCAACCTTTACTTTCCACCTGGTGTTTGCCTACATTAGATCAGTCATAAAATGTGCCGCTGAACCAACATTTGGTAAAACACAAGAAGAAAATTTAGACTAGTAACTAGTAAAATTTAGAAAATGTAGACTGGTAACATATAAGAAAAGATAAGCTATGAGAACAGGTTAAGATAACAATTAATGACATTTTTGTCATTAATTGTCACGCCACATGCAGACGTGTTGCATGTGGCAACACGTCTGGTAATAATTCAAAATTTTTTTGCTAATTCACAGGATATGTCTATGGTATCTGACCAGGGCATCATGAAGATAGTTATACCAGATGAGAAGAATGGCAGCATAGTTACTCGTACATTACCTATTCGGCCTGCTACTACTACACGGGAAATATGCAAGATGATGGCACATAAAATGCGAGTCACAAACCCGCAAGACTATGGACTGTATAAACTTGTTGATGGTCTTGGTAAGTCTATGGTCACTAAAATTTGTATTATATATCTTGCATGCAATCCTATAACTAGCACAAAATTTAATTATTTCATAAATTTTTTTCGCAAAGATAAATCATCTGATGGTAGAGTTATTAATCATTCGTTGATTAGAAGTACCGTATTTATATTTTCATTTGTGTTTGTGTTAATCCCCTTCTATGAGGCTTGAGATGTTTGAGCTCTCCACCAAGGTAAGTCACTTTCTAGTGTGTGTGGTTTAGTCAACATATTTCAGCCACGGTATTATGACTTCTTTGCATAGGTTACATATACCGTACTGTACTGTACAGTGGAACCTCAGGTAACGAACATCCCTCTTTATGAATTTTTTGGGTTACGAGCCCAATTTCTTCATAAAATTTGAATCAGGTTATGAGCTTTGCCTCGCATAACGAGTTTCTTGATACAGAGGACCACTTGCTTTGCAAACCCCTCAGGGATGAGGTCCATCGGTTACTGTGTTAGTTCATAAACGAGAAATGTAGGAACAAAAATAAATGAGAAATACAGTTAAAAAAATAAATGAGAAATGTTGGGAAAAAATTTACTGGTTCATAGAATAAATGTGACAGTAATTTGTTTAAACTCACCAATAAAAGAGGTCCTGATCCACTTGTTATATTCATGATCATTGTTGATGGAGCATAGTTATTTACATGGAAGAGGTGGTGGTGAATGTTGATGGTGTTGGGTTGACTGAAGTGGAGATTAATTGTGATGAGGTAACCTCAGATGTTGACGCATTTGAGTTAACATGTGATGAGTCAGGTGCAGATGGGGCAATGCGAGCTTTCTTGGAAGCCTCCCTCCCACCCCTCACTGCTGCTCTTCTTCGTCACCTCACACTTCTGTTTGAACCACTCCCACACTGCATTATTAACACTTTCCACTTTTGCTTTACTTACTACCTTTCTATTTCATATTGCGTTATCACTTTCACTTCTAGAGAAATAGTAAAAATTGACAGGTTTAGCCTTAAGAAGATAAAAAACAGTACTTTTAATGCCATATTCAGCGCACATGACACTTCTCGGGACTCCGCTCTCCATCTTCTTAGTTATTTCAACTTTCTTCTCAAATATCATCACTGACCTCCTCCTTTTACGTATCCCGCTTGTTGATGGGTTTCACTGACACAATGCATGCATTTGGAGCTGACATGGTGCACGGATGTTCCTAGATTGTGCACGTATATCCAACAAAAGTCACAGAATGAACACTCCAGTCTTGTAACAAATCGAAACAGTGGGCTATAATATATGACTTCACAGGGTAGAAGGCACTAGAGTGGTGCCTGACATGGTCAGTGGGCAAACTAGGCCATCTCCCACCCATTACTCTCCCAGGCCAGCGCGAGGTCTGGCAGACCGCTTCCTCGCTTTCCGAACTTAGTTCGGGAAGCGTGAAACCCAACCCCGATCGTGAAACTGGAACTTTCGAATAACTTAAGTTCGCAAATAATGTGGCTGTCTGTACACGTATGGGTCGACTGAGCACGTGGTTCCTGGTGGCATGGGGCAACCACGCTTCAGTTTACCAATGTTTCCTGCGTAGTGAGGATCGCACTTGAATTCTTTGTAAAGAATTTCATTGTTTTCAGGTTTTTTGGTTAAGTAATTACATATTATATACCATGCCATGAGTCCCAAGAAAGTCAGTGGTAAGATTCAACTTAAGAAAATAGTTGTGATAGGAAGTATAAATAGTATATATAATAGATAGAAAATAGTATAGGAAGAACTGCAAAGTTTTGTTGAAAAACTTAACCTGGTAAAGCTGTATCCATTGCCACTGCATTGACCGTTTTAATGACAATGTGATGTCTTACCTGGTTGTCCTGGCGGACAATCTGTCTCGGTTCATTCCCCTGTCCACAGAATGGACAGTTGACGCCGACTCGTTCAGTTGGCCCTGCCGGACGTTCGGGCCCCCGAAGGTGGACCTCTTCGCATCGGCGTGGTTGAGGCGTCTCCCATATTTTGTAGTGCCCTTGCCCGACTGTGAGGCCATCGGGGTCGATGCCTTGAGGCAGGATAGGTTGAGGTAGGGTTACCTGAACTTCTTTTCCCAGGTTTCGCTGTTGCTCCTGGCTTGCTTGGAGACTTACTGAGGAAGAATAGTCCTGTTGGCCCTTGGTGGCTGGCCCAGCCTTGGTTTCAGGCGCTGCCTGCTCAGTGATCGAACCTGGGAGGTCTTCCCACAGCTCCACAGCTGTGGGAAGCAGATCGGGCCAGTCCATTACATAGCTGGTTCAATCTTCTCCTCCAGCCTTCACATCTGGTCTTTCTGACTCGAGTCTATCACCACTTGTATGGTGAGCAGGTGGCTTCGTTGATGGTGTCCCACCTGCGTGCTTTGTCTCGGCAGCAGTATGAAGTTTCCTGGCGGCCCTTTTGTTATTTCTTGTCTTCATAGGTATTCTTCTGCTTCGGATCGGGTTGTCTTGTCCTTCCTTTCTTGGTTCTTTCAGGACCATCATTGTATGCAGAATAGTGATGCTTCGTACCATGTGGTGCTCGCGGCACCGCGTCGGCTTGCATTAGTGGTGGATGTTACTTCTGCTTCGTTCTGCAGGCTGTCTCATGCGTTGTTTCACCTCTGGCTTGCTCATGCACCGCCTTAGCCATTTTGGTCATAGAACCGGGAGCTCTTCTTTCCGTCTTTTCCACGGTTTGTTGTGTCCCCTTTGGGTCTCCTCCAGTGCAGAGCTTTCTGCTCTTTTGGTCCTCATGGTAGGTTCGTTAGTTTGCACTAGTTATCTTTTTTTCTGGTGAAGAATGAGTGCTGCTGCTTTTCAGAGGAGTCCTTAGGTTGTTGATGCTTGGTTGGTTCAGTCGTTGGTGCATCATGTGTTATGTCCGGTTGTGGCTCTTCACTGTTACCTGTGCGCCATGGCCTCGGTGGCCGGGGACGCGCCTTGGGTTGACCTAGTTTCCCCTCTTCCCTGTTCCAGATGTAGCGAGTAAACTTATACTCGCTCCATTATCTCATCATCTTAATGGCATAACTAATTAGCACTAACTACACAAGTTATAATCCTATCCTTATTTACAGGTAACGTTTTTTTTCCACCCTCCTATCTTCTTTTGAGGTGTAGTCACCGTATATAAGCAAGCGATTTGAGAATAGCAAACAATACAATTTCCAGTCAAGAATGTAGCACTCGGTGCAGGCAGCTCTAATCGTCTCCAAGACGCTACAGCTTCGACACAGAACAGACAGCAGACTAGGACCACATCGAGCTACAACGCTCTCCCACATAAGAGCTCCGCGACTTCGGCCACACTCAACTCTCTGCTCTGCTTCAAGCTCCGTCTCAACGTGTACGACACTGTTGTATCCGGGACTACTAAATATGTGTATCTAATCTACCCAACAATGTAACATAAACGTACATTACACAGAGTTAGGGTCTCCCAGGTCGTCCGCAGGGGTTGGCTGCCGTCTTTGGTAATGTCTTGAGCTGACATTCGGGCATGGGGTTTTTGGAGGTCGAACAGGGTCCTCCGCTTGCTACCTAGTCAATGTTCCTGGCCCTAGTCGGGCCTGTGTCGCATTGGGTCGGCAGTTGCAGCCAGTTGTCTCGACATTGAGTTGAGGAGCGAGTGGCAACTGCCTCCTGGGAAAGTCCCTCTTGTTTTATCTTTGGTCAAGTAGCTCCGGGGAGCAGAAGGGGCTTCCCCTTAAAAAACACAGCATTGAATGTAATGAAACATCATTTTCTGGACAAGACTCTGAGGCTTCCTGGTAACCTTCCCTCCCTCCGATCGGCGGTTTTTGCGGTTTTGACATCATGTTGAACTGGGTGGGTGGATAGCCAGCATTTGGGGGGGGGTCTGGAGCCCCCCCCTTTCCCTCCCTGGGAGGGGGAAGCTGCACAGACAGTGGCACGGTGACGGTTGTGACATCATGCTGGGTTGCTCATTTTTTAGTTGGCGAGTTCTGTTAAACAGTTAGGCTGTCAATAGCAATTTTTTAACCAGATAGGGTTTGCTTTGGGGCGCCTACCTTTCTGGGTGCCTGACCCGGTCGATGGCAGACATAGAATGATTCCAACCACACGGAATGGGGGGGGAGGGAGTTTCTATAGGCCATTGCTCCTCGTGCCTCTTTGAGCGGGCCAGGTTCTGGCTCATGGTCTCTGGTAGGCAGAACTTCATTCACTTTGATGCTATGGTCTAATACATTCATATCAGCCCAGATAGCTCTGGGGAGTCTCTAGGTCTCGCCCAGAAAATGGCTTTTCATTACATTCAACACTAGTTTTCTGCAGGATATTAGTTTTATTCTTTAATCTTTACCCGGTGAAGCAATAAATGTGACACAAGTGAAGCTTGGTATGGAAAATGTTTCAGTCAAGAGAATATGTATGAATATGCAATGAATATGAATACTACCATGCATTTGTTGTTAATATATCTGTATACCTTATACATATTTTTGTTTATGTACATAATGTTCATAGATGTGTCAGAATTTGTGTATAATTCGAGAATCTCATAGGTTATGTAATTTTGCTTAAGGTAAGAAAAATTATAATCTGACCTGATTAATGTAGTAATCTGGCAGATAAAGTACTACTTAATTGTACATTACTCATCATTTAGTTACAAAGAAAATCTTTATTTACCCATTTTAAGTGTCTTAAAATAATTTTGAGTTTTCATACTTGATGAAAATATTTAGCTATTTCCTGAAATTATTTTGAGGGTCAAAGATATCTGTTGAATATATAGCTCGGCATCATTTTAATAAAAAATAAAAAGTTGGTTAACTTAAAGAGCAAATATAGTTTTTCAGGTAATCATTCAGTGTTGATATCATTTATCACTTGAGTATTAAAGTAAGAACATCTATTGATTGGATGTGGATTGGCATGTACCTTTACCTTAAGGATTGGCATGTACTGTCCTGTGCAATTAAAGTACTTGTGAGTTTTATTCAGATCTTGAGTTCTGTTTCACTTTTTTTACCATAAACCTTAGTTGTGCTCAATATGGCAGCTGTGGCCATACATTGTGGTACTGAAAAGTTGTAGGATAGACAACATCTTTATGATTCCTCAGGCTTATTATTGTATATACTGCACAACCTATGGCAACCAAGCCCTTTGAACATATTTTGATGAAATTTTAATCTAAGAAAGTACTGTCCACATGCTTTGTATATGGAATTTATCTTGTAAAGTACTGTATTGCATAATTGATTACATCTATGTTCAGTCTCCACATTGATAGCTTTCTTATCAGTGTTAGGCCAAATACTATACTGGGAAACTTCTGGTATCTTTTATTTGGGTGTAGAAATTACCACAAAATTAAATGTCTTGTATACAGTGCCATTCACATGTTTACATTTTTTTTTAATGTTGAAAGACTAAGAATACTACATATTAAGTGCCAGATTTTTTATCCCTTTCTTTTTCCCTTCCTATAAAGCAGTAAATGATTTTCTACTTTTATAAGAAAACTTGACCATATCATACTATGTAGCTTAGTGATAGCTATCAATCTGATGTGTATTTACAATACCTTTTTTGTATATAATGTACTCTCCTTGCAAATAATGCTGAATGGGTGTGTTACAGTTGGTATCAGGGGTAACCTAACTGTTTGATCTGTGAACGTATTTGGAAATTAAATATCGGTTTTAGATCATCATATTAACTTGTTCACTACTGGTGTATTATTGTGGTGTCCAGGCTTATTGATTAATGAATATATATTGAGATTCAACAGCCTGTACAAGTTATCTTCCAAAGGTTCTACCACTTCAAATATTTGGGTGACCATGTTTGCGTACAATGTCTAGTCATTGCTTGGTAACTTTAGTTGCATAAATGCTTTTTATATACTAATATCATTATTAAATCTATTTCCAGATTTTGTGATTAAATATGTACTGGTATATTGGAATTACATCATGTGACTAAAATGTTGTAAGATGTCAATAAATTAATAAATTGGCTCTTTGATCAGATTAAATTAATTGAATGCATTACCACCATGACATTTGCCAACCAGTAAATAGGTACATTGGAGTTAGGTGTCTGTTGTGCGTTGTATCCTGTATAAGGTCAGAGACCTTGCCAAGGTGGACTTCAGCAAGCATAACAAGTCTGTTCCCTCACACTGGGATATTATAGCAGTGACAACAGAGACAATTCTTTATTTTTAAGTGGCTGTTTGTGGGGGAGCCCCTTATGTCTCCTTCAAGCTACTATATCTGATACAGTGCCAGTACAAGGTGCCATCAGTCATGGCGTTCTTATTGGCCTACTGGACACCATGAGTCAGAACCTGGCCCCCTCAGATGGGTGTAAGAAGCAGTGGCACTTACGAGAATAATTTGTTAATTTATTCATTTCTTTCACCACTAAGGAAGGAAGTAAATTATCAAAAGAAGGCAAAAAGGGAAGGCATTTAAAAATTCAGCACACAACTGAGTGGTTAGCATCAAGAACACGGCTTCAAAACTGCCAAGAGAACTCTCCTAACAATGTAAAAAGCAAAAATGAAAATTTTGAAACTAGCAAAAGCT